CTACTTTATATAAGCTTATATATAGAGTATATTATACTTGTTCTTAGAATTTTTCAATCTTAACTTTTATTCAGTTTGAATCAATGTTTGGAGATTCTTTATATATATATAATTTCATCAGACAATTTTATCATAAATATTAAATGTAGTATTTGGAACATATAAGACGCAGTGGCAATGAAGAATGAACATCTAACAAAAATTGATATTTGACATCAATAAACGAAAATATTATTTCAATTTTTTTATTTGGTTGGGTTGACATGGCTTTTGGTTTTATGACGGATTAGACGAGTAACAAAATACATTATTTGGTTGAAGAACTTTTACTATCAAATAATTTGTTCCTTTTTTTCCTTGTGATTTAGTTTGATTTCAGTTAAGGTTTGGTTGGGTATAAAAAAACAAACGTAAAACCAGATAATTGAAACAAAAATTCGATTTCATCTTCATATTGGTCTTTAGGTTTGGTTCACTTAACCGAAATAGATCACTTAATTATGGTAGCATCTCGTTAATAACAATATTTAATATTTTTACAAACTTTCAAAAAAATAAATATATCTATATGTAATGTATTATAGCTAGAGGTCGATATGGAAGCTTTTTGCAGAAAGTATAATGATATAGGACAGAGTCACAGAGCATTGGATCGGTAGCCTTTTTACTCAAATCAATCAAAAATCGTACACACAACATTATTTAGTAGCTTTTGTCTGTATTACCCCTAATTAACTATACACATATACAAATGTCTGTCTATGTTGTACTTGTATCATATATGTATACTAGTGATTGCCCACGCGTTGCGTGGTATTTAAAGTTAACATGGTAAAATATACAATAATTTATAATATATTGATTATGTATTTAATATCATATAAATTTAGTGTTTATAGTAAATAATTATCTAAGTTAGAAAACTAACTATTTGTACCAAATTGTTGTATAAATACAATGTAATAGGCAAAAAAGAGAAAAGACTGTTACAACATAAGAAAACATATTTCTTGACACAAATCCGTAACTTGTATGTATTTATCTATATTCACTACGGTTTCCTAAAATAACGATTGTAAAAATCTATTGATTAGACATATTATAGTATATTTTGCTTCTATAGAGACATCTGCATATCCTCAACAGAATTGTTGGAATGCATCTTTCTGTTTATTTCATTAGAATCTTAAATCATAATGAGAGAATAATTGATACTTGATTGTATTTGTATATCACTTTATTTGTCGATTTGTTGTGATATTCATCTTTCACATTGATTCAATGGTAAAATGATTCTTTTTTCTAGATTTACAATTTGGGATGGAGTAAGGTTTTCTTTCGAAAATCTTGGTTAGGAGAGTTATTTTGTCCAACGCAATTTTTTTTAATTGTATTAGGAAGTGATTGGTAAATTGGCCTTAAAAACTATGAAAACATTTAATAAAACGTTATGCATCTTAAAACTTTTTTTTTAAATATCGTATATCATCTTTTTTTTGTTTTCATGTTATGCATTTTTATTAAAACTTATCGTCTGTGATTTTTGTTTTAAAACCAGAGTTACCTATATAAAAGCCAAAGTTTTAACTTTTAAACGCGTTTTGGTATAGTATACTGTTTAATTTGG